TATGCAGGAGGAATAGCGTGGCGACATGGAAGAAGACGGAATAATATGCTGAATAATAATAAAGAGAAACAGGAAAACAATAGTGTGCATTGGCAATGCACACTTAAAAGACACTTAATGCCTTAATGCAGCAAGTGATAATGACTTTGGTTTATGTAAAATAAAATAAAACTTTTGTTGCAAACTCGTGGAAMGAACTGAGCACATGTGGATTCCTCGATCAAATGTTTTCTATTAAAAGTGTGAAGCTTTTTGTTGTTGTCTACAATTTGAACTGTCTTGAACTAYTGTCAACAAACAGCAGGTCTTACAGTAATGTTTAACCTGTTGGTTAAAAAGTACCTAACACATTAACAATGCTTCCCGCAAAAATATAAGCAGTTACTGATAAAATCTCAGGGCAGAAAATGAAATGATGAAGGCGGACTATTGAAAATGCACAAGCTTTGTCACCAAAAGTCTGTTACAAAGTCCAACAAAGACAGACAGGCTGCAGTGGCTTTGATGTTCCACTCCCTCTTTAATGATTCTGGTCTCTCCCTGAGCAAACTCAACATTTAAAGTTTTAAATGCCTGCATTTCTGAACAGAACGTATACATTTACTACATTTTCTACCAACAAATTTTAAACCAGAACTCAAACCTGTAGCTGAATGAGCACATAAGTTACTTTTTTAAGCTGTTTGTAGCCAGGCTACTCTGGAGCCACCTGATCAAAACAAAGGAGCAACAACAGTGTAGACAACCACACCTTTTTTATGACGATGCAACCGCGCACGTCATCAACAAATCGACTGCACCACAACCCGTCTGGCTGCATAATGCAAACTAACCACAGTCTCTGACGTACAGACACAAAATATTTACCCTCACAAAAAAAGTTTGTACAAAGATACTATTTGTTTTCAGTACGGTAAACAGAGAGCTATTTAAAACACTTGGCACAATCCTTAAACAAAAAACTGTTCATTTATACGGCATGAAATTTGCCTTTGATATTTTACAGGCAAAACACTGTGGTGTCGCTTCCATCACAGGAACCTCTCAAAATTGAGACGTTTCTGAAATCATTCATTCTTTTTAGTTCTTCTCTTTTGGACTATGCTAACAGTTTATTCACATGTTTAACAAAAGGAGTTGGACCGTCTTCAGTTTGTCCAGAACTCGGCTGCAGGATTGCTAATCCACATAAATAAACGAGCTCATGTCACACCTGTTTTAGCTTCTCCTCAATGGCTCCCAGTTCAATTTAGAGTTCATTTTAAAATTCTAGCATAAAACTTTAGAGTTTTGCACGAACAAAGCTCCATCTTATGTCTCTGATTCAGCTCCAGACATCATAACGCAGGCTGCGGTTATCAGGTCAGAGGTTGCTGGTTGGACCCCGCCCACATTTCCACATTTTAAAACTCGTTGCACCCCTTCAAATGCACYGTCCCCATTTTACACAGTCTACATCAAACTGATGCTTTTTAAAACATCTAAAGATGTTATTTTATTAACAGGCTTTTAGCTGGGGTTCTGTGTTCTAAACCCTGTTACAACTACATTTTTATGATTTTAGATGAATAGATGTTTATACATATTTTTTGGTGTATATATAAATTTTCTTATTTTTATTGTGAATCAGAATAAATCATAGTTACACAATAATATTTCTATATAAAGAAACACTTCTTGCTGTATAAATAAACTTTAATAAAACCCCAACATAAGGCATGTTTTCATCACTAACATCATTAAATGAACAACATGGTTCTTTTGTTTTTAAAACACAGATTCTTACTATTAGTTGTAGAGGTGGTATGCAAATCACATTAAAATGACCAACAGAAAGTTTCAGCTGACTCATACTGACACAAGTCCTTTGCTTATATAAAAACACATGTAATAGTACAGACAAGTGTATTTTTCTAAGGGTTTAAAAGCACATATGTTAAGTATGTTAGCCTTTATCATATGTGTTACATAGCAACAAAAGAAAACAATGGGAACTACACAATAATCAGGCACATTACACACTGAAGAAAACAGAAATGTAATGATGCTGATGTGCAGTCTCCCCCTAGTGGTTTCAGTGTGGGTCTACACTCTGTAAAGGTGGAGTACCTCCAGAAACAAATTAACTGGGGCTCACCTCCTGGGCTGAGAGCGATGGTCATCCTCACTGCTGCCCGACTCCTGCAGAGAAACAGAAATATTTACTCTTTCTTGCTATCGACCAGTGATTCAGACAAATGTTTTAGTTAAGTCAGTTTAGTTAAAGCTTGAAAATAACAGGTTTAATTTTGTGCTATCACATGACGGTACTCTCAGTCTGTGTTGGGGGTGACTCTCAGCTTCCACGTCGCATTTTAGCACAATAAAATGGACTGAATTAGAGCCGTTTTTGTGCTTTCTATGTTGAGCTGGTTGTGGTGTCCATTTTGAATTGAATTGGCTCTAAATATTCATATGTAGGAGGTACAAATAATCAAATAATACAAGCAATAATGGCCTTTCACAGTCTGTTAGAGCTCAGAATATCAGTCATGGCTACTACCGCACCAAAATGTAGCTCAATATTTGTAGAACTGTTTGATTTGCAACAGTTTTTGTGTTTTTTATTGTCAGTTGGCAGCTATCTTAAACTGGGTTCAGTTGTAGACATGAAGTGATTGATTGTTTGGTTAAATCCATCCTCAACACTACAGACAAACAAACAAACAAACAAACAAACAAACAAACAAACAAACATGGATAAAAACATTAACACCCATCTTTCAAGCAGGGGATAAACTGTATCAGGGTGTCAACATGGTGCTTTTCATCTCATAAAACATAACCAGTGTGGTATTTTAAGTGTTAACACACACACACGCACACACACGCACACACACACACACACACACACACACGCACACACACACACCACACCCTCTGCCTTCTTCCTCCTGAATGTGATCATCCCTCCCCCACTACAGCAACCAGCACACAGTCCTAATCCCAGCCTGTCTCTGTAATCCTTCCAAAAACTCTAAGAACTTTCTCCTTGGCATCAAGCTGTCATCCCTGACCACCACGACGGCTGAGATCAGCACGCRGAGCGGACTCATTTATTGTGGAAACAAGTCAAACGCTGAGCTCRAACTGAGGCGCTGCTGCTGCTGAGGCTGGTGAAAGATGAGAGATGATGGAGGGAGCTGGATGCAGCAAAAGCTTTGGTTTCATCCTTTCCTGTCTGCTGCCACAGATGTGATTAGGCC